AGTCAATCATGAATTTGGTTCAGTTGCTTTAAGAGAAGAAACAAATAGATTTTACTGATATCTGATTCATGAGAAATGACTGTGTGTGTAGAATGTAGTTGCTTTCACTATATTGCACCTTCCCTTTCATTAATACGCCTTCCAGCATATGCATGATTTTAAAAGACAGCAGGCCTATGTGGGTGCATAAATACCCAGGAATATTGTTTTTTACTATTGTGCAGTTGTCTAGATATTAATGAATGCTGTCAAGTGAGAAAATCCATTCTCATTTACATACTGTATAGCACAAATGTGATGGCTCCTATGGAAATTACATTCAAACATTTGACAACATTTCCATTTTCAAACTTTACCAAAAATCTAATCCTTTGACCTTCTCTTATATGGCTTCTGCAGGTGAATTTCTACTTCAAAGTACATATAGTACCTCTAGGCAGAGTGAAAACAACAACAACAAAAAAAGCTCCATAAAATGGCAACGAGAGAGGATTTACAATACTAAACCTTGCTGTCAAGTCTAATTCAGATTCTTCTGCAAGCATTACTCAAGGTTAAGCTGATGCATTTTACAACCTCTCCTGCTGCAAACACCTCAAGAACCAGAGGCCTCATTCTTCTCTCATTTTCACCAATATAAATTTGGATTAAATTCATTGAAGTCAATAGCATTTCACTGGAGTAAGTGAGAGGAGATTTAAGAGCTGTCTATCATCTAGTAGTCTGAATGCTTTTACTTTGTTGTTGTGGTATGGCCTTGGACTTAATTACCTTCATGCAGCACAATCCCACATACACTGTTGGCTTCCAGCCTATGCTGTTTCTATTGGCTCTCCACATTCTGAAGCCTTCCCTGCCATGGTGCTACAAATTGCATTTTCAGCTCTAGTTATTGTCTGGCTTGTTTCCTTCTTCCCTGACAACTTAAGCTCTCCTGTTTATGTTCTCTGCCCGCTGTCATTTTTTTCTCAAGCACTTTGCAAGTATGTGTGTGTTGGAGATTGGGGAGGTATCAGAGAACATAAAAATTCACAAGCAGGTAAAAGGGATCACTAAAGTCTATGGCGAGGGTAATGTGGCTGAGATTTGTCATACGTATGCAGAGCTGCCAAGGAAAGTCCTGGTCACAACACAGGAGGGACCCTTTTTGGTTCATAGTCAGGGGTAAGAATGTAATGATTCATATGAAAATTACAGTCAGACATATTTGATAATATTTCCATTTAAAGACATCCCATGTACAGTACTTCTCTCCTATAGATTTTATAGGCAGATTGCTTCTTTAAGGCATATATTGTGTATTACTTGATGGAAAAAACTCCCACATATCTTTGTTTGGGAGCCTGCTAACTCTAAATCAACCCTTGCCAGGTCCAGGATGGAACACTATTAAAAGAACTCTCTGAGTGTCGCTTTAATTTTTTCATCTTTTGTAAAGAACTTTGGGATTAACAGTTTTTTAATCACCAACTAACTGTGGCTCTTACAGCTTTCTAAAAGCTGGTGCACAGCCATCAAGCCTGCCTACAACCTCAATATATGAACATGGAG